CCAATTCAGAAAACAGATGCTTTCGTTCTACACCTGAGATCCAAGTTTTGAGTCCCTCTTCTCAGACCACACGGTACAAGTTGTCCATGTTCACAGTTAGAGAAGGGAGCACGTGCATTATGGGACAGGAGGCGTGCAGAGCATAACCATCCGTGTTGTTGCTAAGCCACACTGTGCTGCATGTCGTGGCTTCTGTCTCGGTGGGTGAAGGGGAACAGTGACCAGGCAGGTGGGGAGGACGAGTCCATAACAGACAGGGAAACCGAAACTCCAGGCTGGCCCACACCCTCATATCAGTGAGGGAGGAGCAGCATGGCTGATGTGAAAACACCAAGCAGCTCAAATGCAATGAGGAGCTGTAGCCTGGCCTGAATGTGTAATGACACATTGCTCTGCAGATGCCTTTCCCCCATAGGCTGCTGCCGACTTTAATGTGGAAGAAACCCATTTTCATACAAAGGTAGCCAAGAGTGACAGGAAATAGGAAGCTCACACCATTTATCTTCCGTGAACTTAAAAAAAAAAAAAAAATCAGTTAATTGCTTTTCTAGGAAGCCATTTTGTAGAATCATGGTACTTTATTTTTCTGTTCCTGTTGGTGGTATAAATGGTGATTTAAAAATGCCCATTGTGAAAATGCGATGATTAACCAACATGTCTTCAGCTATTTAATTACTTATCTTAACAGATAAAATTCTGATCAACCAAATTATGGTTACTCTGTTCTTATGGGTGAATTTTCAACCATGACGAAAACTTCTCAAACATAGTAGATTCACTGACTTTCGTGTGTGTTTCTCTCCTGGCTTCCTTCCTTCATTCCCTTTCCAAGTGCTTCCATTTCAGCCCGGAGCCTCTGCAGGAGCAGTTCCAGTTCACGGCTGCCATTACTGACAGCTCCGGCCAGCCTGTGGGCTGTGGAGCGCCCTTGCTGGGACGGATCTTGCCGAATGTTCCAGAGCCTGTGAGACCATCTGCTGTCTCTGTGGCACGGCAGACCAGACTTTTTCAGTGTTGTCTCATTTGCTACATCACCTGGCGTTAGACATTATTTTTTTAAGTTCTACGAAGCTTGGAGCTACTATGAAGCACTCTTTTCACATCTAAAGTTATCATTTAAATAATAATGTATTATTATTCCATGAGCCAAAGACAGATACACTGAAAAGCTGGTGACACGTCAGCCTCAGGGTCTCCGGAGCAGAGGTTTCTCCAAGGCCCAGGAGGGCCCTAGGAATGTGCTACTATATGTTCTTGTAAACATTTCAGGAGAAAGGTATTTTTAATTCTGTTTTTCCTAAAGAGAACCCCACCACCACCAAGACAACGTCAACTTTAGGTCCCACAAAACCTGCACCCGGCCCTCCAGATAAAGTCCCCCATCATCTGAACCTTGAATTACACGTTAAGGGCAAAACATTAATTTTGTGTTTGTGTGTGAGACAAAAAGTCATTCTCTTTGATTGGAAGTTACATTTAGGGTGCCCGGCTCTGGAACATGTCACGCCGGACGCGTGTCTTGGTCACCCGTGAGGTTCTTGGACTCTCACTAACAGAGCCACCTCCCTGATACCCAGGGAGGGCTCACCTACTGAGGGCGGCATCGAGAGTGAAAGACGCAGCGACAACAACAAAAACATGTTTTTCATTAAACACAAAACTGAGCTGGGGAAAACCAGCTAGGAGGCAGGTGTATCAGTTAAGGAATTCCCTTGAGATCCTTAACTTCCACATCAAATTGCACTAAATTTTTCTACACTAATTTACCTATTATTGAGGACTAAAGAATTGTAAGAAATAACTCACCACAGCAGCAGAGTACAGGTGTTGTGAGGGACCAATGAAGAATGTACAAGTGTAAAATCAGGCAAAATAGAGTCACTAATTCTCTATTGTAAAAAAAATAAAGCAGAATATTTTTCTACTACAAGAACTACAAAGGTGAGAGAATGTTCCTAGGGCAGTGGTCGGCAAACTCATTAGTCAAAAGAGCCAAATATCAACAATACAACCATTAAAATTTCTTTAGAAAGCCAAATTTGTTAAACTTAAACTTCTTTTAATGTCACTTCTTCAAAATAGACTCGCCCAGGACGTGGTGTGGTATTGTGTGGAAGAGCCACACTCAAGGGGCCAAAGAGCCGCATGTGGCTCGCGAGCTGCAGTTTGCTGACCATGGTCCTAGGGCAAGACAGACGGTATTAAATTTAGTTTGGACTTCAAGTGACAGAAATTACAAAGTAAAAGACAAGTGCTAGCACTGAATTTATTCAATTTCTGTAAATTTCTTGGAGGCAGTGACCACATCTTAGATTTTTTTTAAATACCTTTCACATCAGTATACCTTGTTCTTGACCTGATTCTTCTCATGAGGAAAGTGCTTACACAACATCATACAGCTATATCTGCACCTTCCCTGTCTTTGTCATTTTTACCTAACACTTCCTTTTAGCCCCCAGATTCTTCATACTGCCCTAAGCCTTGTCAACAGCTAACATCCTGAAAATGTATAATCAAGATACAAGTTCCATTCAGATCATTTCTTCTGTCAATTTCCCTAAAAAAAAACAAACAAACAAACAAAAAAAAAACATTCTCTGCTTCACAGGAGATAAGTCAACTCTTTATAGAAGATATTTTAGTCTTAAAATCATTTTAGTTTCTACAAAAAATAAATGCAAGTATTCCCCCAAAAGTAAAATCTGATTGGTTTGGTAAAATTCTTCATTTTCTGTTAAGATTGTGGATTTTATGGAATTCCCTAAAAACAATGAATGTTATACCTGCCAAAAGGTATTTCTTAATTTCTTTGAGTAATGTAAAAACAAACAAACAAACAAACAAAAAAACCTTTGAGTTTGAAGATTGAGTAATGTTACTTACAACTACCACCATGCTACTGACCGGAAAGAGCCATTTTGTTAACGTATAGTGGGCTGATTAAACATAGCAGTACTACAATACTCAAATTACCATCTTTTCCATAACATGCAATGCTTTCCATTAAAATAAAGACTGCATTTCTCTCCCTCCCCGAAAAATCCACCCATTACAACTTTGTCCTATCAACAACACTTTTGCTTACCTCCTGTCTATCAATGCATGATTGCCCTCTTTGAAGTGGTCAGCACAGAACGTTAGGAAGAAGCAAGCTGACTGCGTATGTCATTACATGTGGGGGAAGTGAGAAACTTCCTGCATAAAAGCTCCAATTTCTGTCGGGCTGACTCTATCCCAGGCCTTTCCCCCTTGCTCAGATTACTGAACACCAGTCCAGTATGTCATTCGCAATCTGGCTCCTGCAAGGGCATCCTGAAAGTGTCCACGTTATTAATGACATACCCAAAAACCTGATGCAAACTCTAATTACTTGCATAAGGCTGATCAAACACTGGCTTATAACCGAGCTTTGTCAGCTCAATGGGTTCCAAAATAAATAAATTATTACAGAATAAATCTGAAGTTTCTTTGGTACATAAAAATAATTTTAACAAAGAATCAATTGGGATTGAAATTATAAAGGGATTCCTGATGGTTGCAGTCACCTCTGTTCAAGGATAAACCATGTTTTTTGTTGCCATTACAGGGTCATTTGACAGTAATAACAAAAATCAAAAAGCTTAATGAATTCAATTTTGTAAGGTGGGATCCGTGTGTGTTTCCTATAAACTTTTAAAAACATAAATGCTTGCAGAAGTTACATTTTTGCTTCTATTAATTTCTAAGGAATATTTTCTGAGGTCCATCATGATGAATTATCAGAAAATGTTACTGGTCCCTGGTACAATTTCCTCATTAGAACCCGGGTAAACGCCTCTAAGTAAAAGAAGGAAGTCTTATCTAATTAGGTAAGATACTGGCCTCCCAACTGGTGCAAGGTGCTTTCTGAGATGATAACTCAGAAATGATTAAGATCAGCATTGTAGGGCAATCAAGAAGATATATTAAATCATCTGCTTCATTTGGTTATGAGATCAAATTAAGACACGAAGACTAGTCTGGCCAACAGTGTTACTCCATCTTTAGAAAAGAATATGTTAAAAAGAAAAGAAAATCTTGAACAGTTTCTAAGTTCAACATTCCAGAACACACATCTATTTCAGTTACTGCACCTTAATCACAGTAAAATAAAACATGTGCAGTCATATTTCTTATTCCTGCGCTCTTGACAACTGTCATCAATTAGAAATATAGTAGGAGATATGCTTCTCTAAGACAAAACATTTCCCACCCAGATTTCTGTTCAAGTTACTAGTCATGCCTCTTTGCTACCTCTGTGACTATGTGATCTGCTTGTTTTAAATTCGTGTTCTTTACATCTAATCTTCACATTTGAATATAGTCACAATGCAAACTAGGAGAATCTGAGCTAAAATATTTCACTTTCTTCCTATAGCCTAAGACAATTTTTATGGGACACAAAGCGTCCTCACTTTATTAATTAACACCAATGAACCTGGATCTTAAATATTATAATAGAGATGGGACATCTGAATATTTACCATAATCAACATTTAATCATTTAACAATTACTTTCAAAATCATTCAGAAGTTTGTTTACCTTGTAAAGTTTGTCCTGGAACATTCCAAAACTGACCAAAATATTAAATATCTGAACTATTGTACTAATGAAAATTAACCTCTTCACATACCGAAAATTATGGTTCCTGAAGTACCTTCGTTTTTAGGATTTAATATCTCCACAATACTGGTTGTTTACAAACTATCCCCTGAACTCATTCAAGGAGATATTCCTTCCTGAACTAACAGGGACACACCTACAATTACATTTGCTGGAACTTAAAAAGTCTGCCTGTAATCAGTGTGAAACAGTAAGAAAGCATTACTGATGCGTACATCCTCCCTCACTGACTACTACTAATCCTACCACGTGAAGGCGGTCACACTCTGAAATAAAGAAAGCTGGGCACTGAATCCTCAGCCGCCAGAATACGCAGGTCCACCCAGAATGCCTGCAGTAGCCATGAGAAAAGACTCACCTCCGACTGCTTGGGGATGCTGAACTTGGAAAGCTTGGCCTTGGCTCTGGTGGACTCTGGCTTGGCGGCCGGGACGCCCCTGTAGGACGTACAGTGCACGCTGGTTTCCGCGGATGACTTCAGCTTCGGAGACTCATCGGGAGCCTGGTCTTGGCCATCCATCGGCCGCACGTATGCGGTGGGTTTCTGCTGGCCCAGGCTGGGCTTGGAGGCCAGGGATGGAGGGAAGTTCTGCACACAGTGTCCACTGCCGCCGTGCTTGGCTGCCATGGCGGGGGGTCTCTCCTGGGTCTGAAGACCCACCTCCACATTGCACACCTGTTTGGCCCGCGGCTGCTGCCTGCCAGCGCCATCGCCAAGCAAGGTCCTGAGAGAGCTCTGTTGTGCTGAGTTGGAAGAAGAAGGAGAAGGGGGGGAGGAAGAGGGGCTGGACACACAGTGGTTAGGCTTCTGATTCGGGTTCTTTGGCGGAGCGGATCTGGTGAGATCGATCAGCCTGTGTCCGCGCTTGCTCGCTCTCGGTGGGCCGTCGGGGGGCGGGTGCCCAGCCTTCTGCCAGCCCACGGAGCCCCTCTTGCTCTGCTGCGCGGGCACAGCGGCTGGCGTGGCAGATGCAGTGCTGCCGACCGCAGAGGCCTGGGGCTGGGCTCTGGAATCCGCAACAAAATGTTCCTCGATCTTGTTCACGGCGGCCTGCGGAACCCCAGGTTTGGGAACGCCAACGAGGTGACTCTGATTAGACCTGTCGGTTAAGAAGTCCTTCATTTCATCGTAATTGCCTAACGTGTTCTGGATCCGGTTGGAGAGCTCGTCCCCCTTGTTGGTCTGGAGAAAGAAAAGCACAGCCTGCCGTTAGAGGCCACGGGAACACGGCACACCGCGGCGAGGCGCCGTCATCGACCACAGCGCCGGGGCCGCCACGTGCAGAACGGGAGCTGGAGGTGAAACCTAAACCATCTTTGCTGAGGAAGTCCGTCAGCGCTCGCTGCACACCAGACCCAGAGGGCCGGCCGGGGCCGGGGCCGCAAGGAAAGGCGCCCGTCCCGGGGCCTGTGCAGCCGTGAGGACGTCCAGACGCACGCCAGCCCCTACACACAGCAGCCCCGACGGAGGCTCTCCAGGAGGGACTTTTGCCTTTTCATAGTCCCACTGGAAGCTTTTCCGAAAAATCAGATTTGGTTCCAACCGTTCCCTTTCCAAGTTCTAACTATGTAATCATTCCTGCCAGAAACCCAGAATGGCAGGCAGAAGAAGCTATTAATAGAATGAAGCTTCAATGCACACAGGCTAACTATGCAAGAAGCTACGAGTCTAAACTACACAAGCTCCGTGCAGCCTGAGCTCCTGGGATGACGTCCCACTTCGGGAGAGTGCTGACATTTCTGGCCTTTGGTACAGTTTCTTTCTTATTGGCCCTATCAGGTAACCCTGGTACCCGCATGATTCATGGGTGACAGATATGGAACCCAACCTCTCGGAACTGTGTTTGTTTCTAACCTTAGGGAACATAACAAGTGGCGCTGACTTTGAAAATCAATGCAGAGAGGACATGTATGTTATTGATAAAAATGATAGCAAGCAGATCTCAATATTGACACCAAGATTTGAGGGGGAAGACCCCCATTCTTAGTGGCGAGGTGGCCTTCCCTCAGCTGCACAGGCAGAAACCTGACTGGAATTTGATTAGGCAACTCTTCTGGTGAAGACGGTCATCCCGGGGTTGGAGGTGCCGAGGGGTGAAGAGAAACAACGAAAAACCGTCTACCTTGTAGGGCTCACTGAAGAGGGAATAACTGGAATTAAATGTGCCATCATCCTGCTGGGTCTCCTGGTTTCTCCTTTCTCGTTCTTTCCTCCGTAGCACATTTCTATCTGGTTCGTAGACACTGCATCAGGAGAAAGAAAAGAGAATGATTACACACAAAAATTAAAGGCTACAGTCCAACATGACATTCACACACGTGCAGAAGTCTGGTTCACGGACAAATGGTGATGACGACAAGAACATGGATCCGGTTAAAGCTAGTCTAACCAAGCAGTGCGGGCTAGGGCTCGGGTGTCAGATAATGGCAGCTTCGGGAGGAGAAAAGTCCTGAGGACAAGCCCCAGCCAGCGCTAGACCTCTGTGCGCGTGTGAAGGAGGAACTGTCTAAGCAACTTTGACAGGAGGAGGCTGAGAGGACTCTTAAGGCAGACGGTAATTATTGCAATGTGTAAATAGAAATCACGGGCACATTTCCTCCTGTGACATGGCCCCCGAGTGTTATGTGGGCATGCTCCTGTATTTTCCTTTCTTTTTTCCCCGTGCATGGCTGTTTCTGTAGTGATTCTTTCATTAACGGGCTCCCTGAAGAGCTGTTAAGCTCCATGCTGCAGAGGCTTTCACAGTTACGAGCCTTCTTCTGATCTCTGTTAATCAGTCAAGTCGTCAAACTAGGACTGAATCAATTCTTCCTTTTGATATATTTGACACTATCACTCCTCCTAACTATGAAAAATGTGCCAGGAGGAAGGGATACGGGCAACGAAGGGGGAGAGCGGAAATTGAATTATGGCGTGTCATCAAGGAACTCGGCCTTTTGTTGAAGAAAATTAATATCTCTTCTCCTAAAATGCAATTATGAAGTGACCAGACACCAGATAATGGGAGGACTGAGGAAGAAATAGTGTTCCTTCCCCCTATTGGGGGAAATAAAGGGCCTAATGTAACTAATAATGAGGACGGAACCCGAGTCGTGAAAGGAGGGAACACACTTGTATTTTTGATTGTTGTTTTTTTTCCAGCTTGCTGGAGAAACCCGGCCTGTGGAGGCACAGAGCTAACACTGCGGGCTGTAAAGAACCCATGTGTCTCTCAGAATAAGCACCGGCCTCGTTTCCCAGCAGAAGCATTTTGATTGTGACCTTGCCATCCTTGTGCTTAGAGCTCCCACTTGGTCCAGGGCGGGCAGGTGCCAAAGATGGAGCGAGACAACCGCCTCCTGACCGAGGTCTCCCCGAATCAATGACGTGATGACCAAGCACACACACTCCGTCTCTCCCCGTCCTGCCACCCGTCTTCCTTACAGAGCAGGGCTGTTTCACGGTGTGGGGCACATGCTTAAACATGAAGACAGTCTATAAGAAAGGGCTTCGCATTGGCTTTCCGTGCCACAGTCCGATGTATAGCAAATACTGTTAGTAACTATTAACAATGAGCGGGTCTGTGGGTCCAAAGAAGCTATGACAATAGTAAGGATAAACGACTTTTCAGTTAAATTGTGAACTTGGGTAAAAAAAAAAAAAAAAAAAAAAAAGAGGATATATGTGTCCTGTAGCTGTAGAGGGCACAAATAAAATAATCATAAAATATATATTGCTTATCCTCCTAGCTCTGCCCAGGTGGCCAGAATATACTTTAAATTCGCTGTCTCCATGGTGATGCTAAAAACGCTCCGGGCAAGGCTGTGAGAGCACCTGGAGCCCTGCAGTTACATGTAAGAGTGAGGGGTGTTGGGGGAGAAAAAACAACAGAACATGTAGCCATTAGCATTTTAACTCGTCCTTAATAATTTACCCCGAGTTATTAGGTTTGGGAGTCCAACCAGTGGCCTTCATACAAAGAGAGACTGAGCCACAGCCTGGCCAACGGAGGGCCCACAGCGCCTACACCCGGCACCAGCGCCCTCTGGGCGCCCCCAGGCCCTGAATGGCCTAAGGGAGGCCCGGGATGACGAAGACACTCTCCCAGAACCGCTTCCCGTCCGAAGGAGAGGGCATCAGGTCAGGCCCGCTGTGGATAGGCACACGTGGAACCCCGGCTTTCACGGACGTTCTACGATTTCAAACGGGGATTTCTTAGTCTAAGGACACGTGACTCACACTACAGATGGACACGATGTGGGCTTTTACCAAGAGAACGTCAGTCTCACTGGACCCAGACCAGCATTTGCAGTAAGAAACAAAAGCTTGCATCGCAGGCACCACCTTCCTCCCTGGCCAGTGCCTCAGACCTCATGCACACAGACCCCCACACATATGCTTGCTGTCCTCAGCCAGGTCATGCCAACTGAACACGGGTATGATGTACGACATGGCCGAAGACGACATGGAGCAGGCAGGTGGTCATGGAGGGTGATCTGGGGTCCCGAGAAGGCCCCCATGCCCCAAATAATACCTCCTGCATCGGCTGGTTGACGACTGAAATTCCACCACTAGAGAGTCACTCCTCTGGCTTAGGATGTCTTCGCCCCTGGAAGAAATGCAGACACCACAGAAGGGAAACATTGAAACCCGGCCAGCCCTCGCATCTTAGCGAGCATGCAATTGTCTGCTTCTTGACCCCCGAGGGCCCGGCAGGGGGCACAAAGCCATCAGGGTGCAAAGGGAGAGCAAAAAGGAGGCTTTATGAGAAAAGGGAGGGCCGTGCGGGGCGCAGCAATGAGAACCAGTGTATTAACCCCACCTCTGTGCAGCCTGGCTCACCTGCTTCAGTCAAAGGCCAGAATCAGTGAGGCAGACACCGGACTCCTGCCGCTCCGGGGTCAGGGGAGGGGATCACTTCCCAGTACGAAGTGAGAGGTGCAGAGGAAGCTGCTCCTCCTTAACAGCGCTGGCCTCACCCCCCAGCCCTTTCAGCCTGAAGGTAACCAACAGCTCCCCACGGTGCACATCACGGCTAGCTAAGCTCTCTGATGGTCCTGCCTGCGTGCCCGCCTGTGCCTTCTCACACTGCAAAGGACTGGACACCCGCAGGACCTCCTGCACATAACAGACCAACTGAAATACACTGGCCATCTTTCTCTATCTCTTCCCCCCCACCCCTTAGTTTTTAAAAGATCCTCACCCCAGGACATGTTTTTACAGATTCTTAGGCAAGAGTGGGGGGTGAGAGGGAAGGAGTGGGGGAAGGGATAGAGAGAGAGAAATATCGATGAGGGAGAGAAACATCAATTGGCTGTCTTCCCGTACGTACCATGACCAGGGATCGAACCTGCAATCTTTTTGGTGCGTGAGCCACGGGGCCCGGCCAGGGCTGCACGGATCATCTTTTACGGGACCACCCAATGCCAGGTCATCAGTTCCCTTCCCATCAGAGGAAAACCAAATGACCACCATCAGCCCGAGAAGAGGGGCCGCTCTTCCTCAGCGCCTTCCTCTCCGGCGGTGCCTCATCCCCCCTAGTGAGCGCGCTGTTGTCTCCACGGAGCCCTCCGCTCCTCCCAGGCCACCACCCTTCCCTTTACCGAGCCACACCCCCACGTGGCCTGCCAGGCCTAGGCCGCTAGAATGCCACCTGCTTAAGGCAAATGTCATTGCAAATGGGAGCCTGGACTTTCCATCCCCACCTCTCTCTCAGCATCTGAACTTTGGTCTCTTCTTCCAGGACTAAACATTTGACTCATAAAGACAGCATCTTCTCCACAGCAAGTCCAGGGACCCACTAATCTCAGGGGAAATCTGTGCAGGGTCCGAGTCCCAGAGGATGCCTTTCTCTTGATCTGTTGCCATTAACACTCAGCCTCTTCCCTCCTCAGGGTTCAATGCCAGAACCATTTCTGTTGATGTTCGGCAATTTATTTTGTTCATTAGGTTCCATATACAAGCGGGATCATGCAGTATCCGTCTGTCTCTGGCTGGCTTACTTCACTTAGCGAACTCTCCCACAACAGGCTGATGGGTCGGCCTTACTGGAGACTGAAGCTCCGGGGAATTCCAAGTCCTGGAACACCTCTAACCACGCTAGACTCAGCAAGAGCCCCGTGTTACAAGCTGTGTTTCCGGGTTTCCAGCAGAGGGTAAAATTTCCATCATCTGAAAAGTTGTTCCTGATTTCTGTGAAAATTACAAGAACTACACTCTTCAGATGTATGTCACCGAATGCATTCATTTATTTTGCATGCAAGTGGAGGCAGCCAACTGCTGCAATGGTATTTATTATTTATTGCAGATGTGTAACATTCCAGAAAACGAAGCTTTTTAATAAACTCCTTTCAAAAAAACACTTTATTTTAGAATTTAAAAAAATGAACAGTAAAAATGTAGTAAAAACGTCCTGGTCATTTTGATTGATTTGTATTAATTTACATATTGAAGTACTCTGCAGGACTCAGGCAAAAGTCAGCTGTGCCAGTTAAGTAGGTATAGAAGTTCAAACATGATCTTATCATCATTTCCAAAATTAATGCAATCTTGACCAGCTGGGGCCTAAACGGACAATCAGATATCCCTCTTACAATCCAGGACTGCTGGCTCCCAACTGCTCGCCTGCCTGCCTTCCTGATTGCCCCTAACCACTTCTGCCTGCCAGCCTGATCACCCCCTAACCTCTCCCCTGCCAGCCTGATTGATGCCTAACTGCTCCCCTGCCGGCCAATTTCCCCCTAAATGCCCTCCCCTGCCAGCCTGGTCACCCCTAACTGCCCTCTCTTGCAGGCATGATTGCCCCCAACTGCCCTCCCTTGCAAGCCTGGTCCCTCCCAACTGCCCTTCCCTGCTGGCCATCTTGTGGCAGCCATCTTATGTCCACATGGGGGCAGTCATCTGTGTGTTGGAGTGACAGTCAATTTGCATATTACTCTTTTATAAGATGGTAGATAAACTTTGTTAAAGATCAAGAAACTAGGATAAAATTTTTCTTGGAGAAAGACAATTATAGTAGATAAACTTTGTTAAAGATAAAGAAACTAGGATAAAACTTTGATAATTAAAATGGCATCATAAAGAAGACATTATTTGCCAGTGATACATCTGATAAGGGATTAATTTCCAAAATACATAAAGAACTCATATAACTTAACAAAAGGAAGACAAATAATCCAATTAAAAAAAAGGCAAAGGACCTGAACAGACATTTCTCCAAAGTGGACATACAGAAGGCCAAGAGACATATGAGAAAGTGCTCAAAATGATTAATGATCAGCGAGATGCAAATCAAAACCACAATGCGGTACTACCTCATACCTGCCAGAATGGGTACCATCACAAATCAGCTGGTGAGGATGTGGAAAAAATGGAATCCTAGTGCATTGCTGGTGGGAATGCAGATTAGTGCAGCCATTACAGAAAACAGTATGGAGTTTCCTCAAAAATTTAAAAGTGAAACTGTCATTTGATCCAGTGATCCCACTTGTAGGCATATATCCTAAGAAACCCAAAACACCAACCAGAAAGAATGTACACACGCCTATCTTCACAGCAGCACAATTTACACTTAAGATCTAGAAATAGCCCAAGTACCAATCGGTAGATGAGTGGATAAAAAGCATGGTATATTTACACAATGGATGCTATGCAGCTATGAAAAAGAAGAATCTCACACCCTTTGAGAAATCATGGAGGGAGAATATAATGCTAAGTGAAAAAAGTATCATATGATCTCATTTACATATGGAATCTAAAAAATAAAATAAAATAGAGTGATGAACAAAATAGATCCAGAAATGTATAAACATGGAAGAGACTGATGAATCACTGAGGAAAGAGGGGGGGCGATCAATCAAAGAACTCATATGCATATATGCATAGCCCATGGACACACAATAGTGCGGTGAAGGCCTGGGGGCAAGGGAGGGCGGGAACAGGTGGCAGGGGGTCAATGGCGGGTAAAAGGGCACATCTGTAATACTTTCAACCACAAAGATAAATAAAATAAATAAGTAACATTATGTAAAAGGAACAGCAATATCTACAGTTCTTCCTTCCTGTCTGCCCATGAGCCACCCTGAGGCCACAGCCCAATGTTAGCAAAGAGACAAGGAGCCCCAGCCTGTGCCCGCGGCCCTGCTCCTCCTGCGCGGCTCCAAACGCCGCCCTCTGAATCTGAACAGGTGATCAAAGCAAACGGCATTTGCTGTGAAGGGGTTTTTCTGCCAAGGGTAAACACAGCTATCTGTTCCCCGTAACAATCACCACCAAAGTGTCTTATTCCTTTAAAAAAGTATCCTACCTACTGGTAGATCTCCAGGGTTGGGATCCAGGAACAAGGGAAGTCAAGGAGAAGAGAATGAACCACCTCTCGCCTGTTTTGGAGAGAAGCTATCATGTTCTCTATGTTTAAAAAACATGGCCCTCTTCGAATAGCCAAGAGAACTACAATTCACTCTCCTCCCAAAGCGTTTCCGGAATGCCACGGTGCCAGATGCCGGGAGACAGCAGGGCTGTGAGCTGTGAGCGGCATTGGCTGCTGCGGAGAAGCGGACAGTCCAGGGTGCTGGGAGGGGAGCAGGAGGGGCGCATTCTAAGATGGGGCTGCTGACACCAGGTGGCCAGGAGCACAGGGCGTCAGGATTGCCTCCTGGGAGAGATGGCCTTCGAGCTGGGTCTCAAAAAGGGCAGGTGGGGGAGGGGAGGGAAAAGCAGGGCTGAGAATGGCAGGTCAGTGGACTTTGAGAGCACTCAGAGGCGGCGACCCTGCCTCCCCTCGCCATCGCATTTCTTTAAACACAAGTTCCATTTCTCCGATCTGCTCCACCACTATCCTGGCATTGCCACCGCCCTACGTAAGTGTATCCGATCCCTTTCCCAAAGCAGGTTTGGGGGAGCAAGTGAGTGAGGAAAACTTCCTCACAGTTTGCACCAGGCCTGGTCCCAACAGCCTGATCCCAGGGAAGACGGCTTTTCAGCCAGGGAGCCGGCAGGGCCCTGAGACAGCAGGGGACCGGTGCCGGGGGTGGACGGGCAGCCACAGGGCGAACGGGAAGAGAAGGCCTCAGTGAAGGAGGGAAGAGGCTTCCAGAAACTTCTCTCCAGAGCAGCAGCAGCAGCAGCAGCAGCAGAGACCGTGTGAATTACGGAGCCTCACTACGAGAGGACAGCACCTGCTTCACATTCACTGAGTCAAACTAGCGAACATCTCTTGTTATTTATAAAGCAAACGGTAACAGGTCAGTCATCCTTTCTTAAGTCAGAGAAAAGCAAAGCTCTTGAAGTATACTTACAAACCCTCTCCTCAGTCTGCAGGCAGAGCTGGCGGAGGGCAAGACGGAAAGGGAGTGAGCAGGTGAGAGAAGCGAGTCTGGCAGAGAGAAGAGGGGCTGGAGTCAGAGCTCAGAAAAGGGCGATGATCCTCCCAAGGCGGTGGTGGGGGTGGTGGCAGAGAGGAAGGTGAGGGAGGTGAGGGTGAGGGTGGCTGTGGGGGTAGTGACAGGTGGTGGTGAGGGCAGTGAGGAGGGTGAGGGTGAGGGTGACTGTGGTGGTGGTGGTGGTGAGGGCAGTGAGGGGGGTGAGGGTGAGGGTGAGGGTGAGGGTGAG